CCCCAAAACCCCAAAACCCCAAAACCCCTATTTTATCTCTCAAAATTGAACTACCATCTTGCGTAAATTTCATCAATGATTCCCATTGTGTTGTTGAATGGGATTTTTCCATTTGGTGTAGTGATGGTTCCTGAAAAATATCCGTAGTCGTCTCTGGAATCGACATCATATATCACATAATGGCCTTGAATAATGTGAGATTTCTGTACTCTGAATTCCATCTCAACTGAAATATCATATTTGTTAGTAACCGGATTTTTCTCCCACTTCCAGTGGGTATCTGAGACTTTAGTGGCAATATGTGGATCTAACTTATGAAGTTTTCCATCAATGAAGATGTGATCAAAGCTTGAATGTGGATTATCGTCTCCTGACCCAATACTAATGTGGATATCACGGCCCTTGGATTTGAAAGTAGTTAACGCTTGTACCCAATGGGTTGGATATGGTAGATATCCTCCTCCATTATCCTCAAATCCTTGACAAGGAGACTTTTTAGTGCAAGTAATAATTTCCTTTCCTCCAAGGTTGATTGATCCTACAAACTTCTGCTGATGCTTGCTCATATAAGTATGTTTTGTAGGGTCATTAGGGTTAGAACTAACGTGTGCAAATCCTTCATATCCTTGAGAATCAGCTTCTAAATTAAGATTACTTCCTTTCTCCTCAACACCAACCCTTGTAGACCCCTTGGGCTCAGAAAAGCTACTGAAACCTACCTAATTTTCCTTCTATAAGACCTTGATCGCTATGAACACTGATGTCAATATCAGTTGTAGTGCCTTCAGGTCTTCTAAAGAAGGTCATGTTCATCTGGTCATGACTAATAGTTGAATACATTCCTCCTCCGTTCTTGTTCTCATCGATAGCTATGGAGTCCTGGAAGAACTCCTTAACGATGGTTTCTACGATTGGTGAATCCTTCCTGGAGACATCTTGGATATTTATATGAGCTGCCATGACTAAACCTCCGTTGGTATGAGCCATGGTTACTAAATAGTCCCCTGAGATCACATAGAACCAGTTCCAGAACTTATGTCTAGTAAAGAAAGGAACATATGCATTATTCATCTCGTGATTATAGAGCCATTTGTTTGGAATTTTGCTCCATCCTTCATGGTTAAGAAAACCTGTCTTTGGATCAAGGATTTCTAAAGGTTCTGTCGAGCTTAATTTAGGAAGAGCTTTGGTATAGTCCACATCATCAGGCAAGGACGGCATCAAATGGATGTAAAGTCCCATCAAACTTAGTAGTCCTGATAAAAAGAGGGACAATAATACAGTTTGGATATCCATGAGTATTTTAATATTTTATCTCTCAAAATTGAACTACCATCTTGGGGTTTTGGGGTTTTGGGGTTTTGGGGTTTTGGGGTTTTGGGGTTTTGGGG